CTCCCTGTGGCTCATTCTATCTTAAGGAGCAGGACCATCTCTAGACTTCATTGCCTTGGTCATTCATTCAGATCCTCAGCATACATAACTCATGTTTTGTGGGCATTGGGCATTGTGGGTACTCAGTCAATGTCTGAATGAGATTCACTTCCGTTTTGCAAGTAAAACTTAAGGAGGGGATACAATGAACTGGATTGTGTCCCTCAGCAAATGCATATGTTGAAACCCTAACCCCATGCAACAGTATTAGGAGGTGGCCTTTGGGAAATAATTAGGGTGAGATAGTTCACGAGATTGGAGCTGTCCTGATGGGATTAGTGCCCTTGTAGGGAGAGACACCAGAAAGCTTCCACAGTGAGAAGGCAGCTGTCCGCAGCCCAAGGAGAGGGTTCCCATCAGGAAGTGACCATGCTCGCTCTCCAGAACTGTGGAAGATAGATTTTTGTTAGTCAAGCCACCCAATCTGTGATATTCCTTTATGGCACTCCAAGCTGAGAAATACAGGAGAAGCTGGGAGTTAGGAAGTGGCTTTCATGATGGTTGTCTCCAAAAAGCAAAAGGCTGGGAGGAGGTCAGAGGTGCTTCATGGGTCCCGAAGATCACAGCCAAAATGGAGAGGTGGAAATAGAAGGCGGACAGAAAGCAGCCGATGATTGGAAAAGGCATCTCACAGAATGAACTGTCTCTGACAGTGGCCAAGATCTCATCGCTGGACATAGCCACACAGGGATCATATTAGCACGGAGAGGTGACAGGGCTAAAAAGGACCCAAGCATTTCCCTGTGATGGGACCCTGTAAGGTCCCAGTGGTCCCTGAGATTCTGTGAGCTCACAGTGAATCGTTACAAACAGGAACAATTACTCTCATTTGTTGAGCACGTTAAAATTTCCAAGGCACTTTCAGAGGTGCATTATCTCCTTTGATTTATACCATAACATTAGAGTTGACGCCCAGCACCAATTTGCTGAATGAGGAGATGAGGGACAAGCCATTGCTGCCCCTTTGTTCCCAGTAGAGGAATGTGGGCAGAGTGATTTCTGGATTTTCCAGTAAAGGCCAAGTCAGGATTGAACCCAGGTCTCTGCTGTACACAGCCGCCCCCTGTGCCAACTTCCTCCAGCCTGGCAGTGGTAACACTTTCTTTGAGGCTGGCATTTTTCTTGCTCTTAGTTTTGCATTTTAGGAAATTCTTTAGCATCCATTACCCATTTAATGCTCACAAATGTCCTTTGAACAGGTATGACCATTCTTATTCAGAAAATGAGAAAACTGAGGCTCAGAGAAAAAAAGTTGAGGGGCTTTTGCAAAGTCTCCACCTCCCACTGGGCAAGGTACTGGGGTTGCAGGCAGTGGGCATCCTCTCCAGGCAAAGGTGAGCCAGTAGCCTTGGCTGTGTGGGGGGTACAAGGAGTTTTTGGCCACAGGCAGGTTGAGGGGAGACCGTGTTTGGGGTAGAAATACAGCTAGCGTAAGGAAGCAGCAGGCAGCCCGTTCGTGCTTCCTGCCCTCCTCTCTGCTCTTCTGATTTCTCAGCTGCTCCTCCTGCCAGAGCCCCCTCTGTCCCTGGTAAATGAGCACCACAGGAGTTCTCCGCCTGGCTGCCTGCCGTAGTTGCTTCAGGGCTTACACAAAATACTGGTACTCACCTCACTGCCACCCTACTCCGGATACTAAGATTTAATTTGTCTAGGGAGAGGGAGGGATCTGGGAATCAGTATTTATAAAAATATTCTTAGATAGTGTCGTATCACTGAGTTGGTGCTGATGTGGGCAGGTTTGTGCATTCGGGTTGACAGGTTACTGCAGTGCAGCTTGAAGGCTGGGGGCTGTGCTGTTCCCAGGGTCTGCCTAGCCCCAGGATGGTTGTTTTTCATTTTGCTGAAATGATGGCCTTTCCTCTTCCCCCAGCCCTACTGGTGTGACGTCATGGTCTAGTGGGACACCACGTGGATTTACACCACAACCTTTGTCCTTACTTGCTCTGTGACCTCAGACTGGACACCTTCACATCTCTGTGCCTGTTTCCGTTTCCTCCTTTGTAAAATGAGGATAATAACGCTGGCTTCCTTATAAGGTGAGCCCTGACTCATGAGACGACACCTGGTGAGGGTTCAGGCCTCCATAACCCTCCTGAGTGGCTGTCCTTTCATTGCAGGAACTGCCGTGTGTGTGTGTGTGTGTGTGTGTGTGTGTGAATGTTTATAAAATAAAATATTGTTTGTTTTTTTTACCCTGGGTGAAGTTAGCTACATTTTCACCACCTTATATCTCTATTATGGAATTATAATGTGTTTTTTTTTTTTGAGACAGAGCCTCAAGCTGTCCCCCTGGGTAGAGTGCCGTGGCATCACAGCTCACAGCAACCTCCAACTCCTGGGCTCAAGCGAGTCTCCTGCCTCAGCCTCCCAAGTAGCTGGGACCACAGGTGCCCGCCACAATACCTGGCTATTTTTTGGTTGCAGCCATCATTGTTGTTTGGCAGGCCCAGGCTGGATTCAAACCCGACACCTTAGATGTATGTGGCTGGCGCCTTAGCCACTTGAGCCACAGGTGCCAAGCCTATAATGTGTTTTTATGTCCCTAATCTGTTATATTCACACGTGTGGGGTATGGACAAGAGAGATGCAGCCCCTGACCCTTGGGTAACTTGGGCTTTGAAGAGGACAGATGAAAAAGCAGAGGCGGCCCCTGTGAGGAAGCCAGTCAGTGTGCTGTGGAGAGGAGAATCGTCCATGCCTTGCGGCCAGGGAGGCTCTGCTGGCAGAGCTGGTTGTGCTTCCTCTGTGCTTTCTTTACCTTACATAGAGTGTCCTTGAACTTACTGGAATTACTGGCCTATCTCCCTTCAGCGTTAAGCTACAATCGTTGCCTGCAGGTTAAGAAATGTGCTTGTTCATTTTTGTATTTCTCACGTGATTCATTTATTGGACTTGATTTTATTTAAGCCTCACAGCCTAAGACTTTGCATTGAATCTAGAGTCACACAGATGAAAAGGCTTTTGTAGAAATCTTCACAGTCTTCTGAGAACTATAGACATACAAATGGAGACGGCTTCGGACCATCCCAGCTGCTGGGATGGCTGTTAGTGCAGTGAAGAATGGGGGTTAGCAGGCCCTTGAAAAATATGAATAGCCCTGAAACAAACAGGCCTATGTTCCTCATTAAGTCCCACTTTTTGAGGGACTGGGTCCTGTTTGCATCTGTTCCCTCCTAGGGTGTAGGTTACTGCCCAACACAGCAGTGGATATAGGGAGAGTGGCTGGACAGATGACATAGCTTCCTTCTGGGAGTTTGTCCTCATCTCCAAATGGAAGGTTCGCCGGTATTTTGAAGCTGTCCATCAGCTTCACAGAGTGCTCACATTCTGGAATACTGTCATGGGTGCTGAAGCAATTTCCCTCACTGGAGCTGCCAGAGGAGGTCATTATTTTGTGATGTCCTCAGACTTTCATCATTGCTAGAAGCTGACTAATTATGAGCAGAGAATTGTGGGCCTCGAAATGCCCCTGTCTGCACATCTGGCCTCACTGTCAAATAAAGTACTTATTTCTGATAAGCTCTTTTGGCTTCGGTGAAGCCACTTGGCCATGTCTGGCCATGCGCAGTGCTGATAATGAGCCAAACAGAGAGTAGGGTTGGGGGAAGTTGGGGGCCCAGTGTGTGGGAGAGGTGGGCTTTTTAGACCATTTCGAAGTAATGAGAGGGCTTGGAGAAAGGTTAGTAATATCTGCTACCACACTCATTTTCTCTGTTTCACTGAAATAGAAGTTCCACGTAGACTGAACCTGACCAAGAAAGGGAATGTGGACAGGAAAGCTAATGAGAAATGCAACTTGGTTATTTCTGGAGTGCTTTGTGCTTTCAGAGGGTTCTACCCTGACCCGGCTTCATCTGGATTCTGTGAACACCTATGCATTTGGCCACTCAGCACCATTCGTGTGGTCCTCCATTAATTTATCCCCCCCATTAATAGTTGGTGGGCATCTTCCTGTGTTATTAAAGATAGATCCCATCGTGACAATCCCATGCCAGCAGCTGGGCCTGCTCTTATGGAAACATCATAGACTTGAGAAGCTTTCCAAGAAACCAGTGGAAATCAACAGTGCCTCTTTGTCACATTTGATTTACCACTTTGAGCTTTATTTCTTCACCCAAGAACGGAAAAAAAAAATGTGTACTTTTTTTTTTAAATGTGTAATTTTTAGTTAGAGTAACTCTAGATTCTACAAACATACACTCCAGTATGTTAGTAGCTCAAAAGATGTATCTGTCTTGCTCATGTAATAGTTGAAGAAAGGTCTTCCTGGCCAGTGCGTAGCTTTTCTTCATGCAGCTCTTTGCAGACCCAGCTCTTTTCCATGCTGTTGTTCCTCCATCCCTAGGATCTTGATGTCCATTCAGCTGGCAAAGTGGGGAAGGGACAGAGAGAAAGCACCTCAGCCCTTAAACACCTCTTCCTGGAAGTGGTGCGCAATCACTTCACCTCCCAGGAAGAAGCTACTGAAGAGGGATGGTTCCCACATGCCCCTGCCCTAAATACCATCCTTTAGTGTTGTATAAGAACAGATGAAGTTGGGTTTATGAACATACCCTGGCTTGTGTGGTGTTTGCTGTACACTATGGCATTTATTATTTGTGAACTATTTGTAGGCGTAAATGGCCAACCAGGACCATTCACCTAATCCTATAATTAATTTATCCCCTTGATAACATGTGGTGGCCATCTTTCTGTGTTAGGAAGGGTAGATCTCCACCCCTTGAGAATATGTGTTAGACATCTTTCTGTGTTAGGAAGGGTAGATCCCTGCTCTCTTGAGAATATGTGTTAGACATCTTTCTGTATTAAGAGGGGTAGATCCCTGTTCTCTTGAGAACATGTGTTAGTCATCTTTCTGTGTTAGGAAGGGTAGCTCTCCATTGTAAATGTAACAGCTAACGGTTGTCTTCTGTGGCTGGATCAGGATTTACGTTAATTCGTCCCTTGCTGATGTCTTTCAGATTGTCTTTGGCTTTGTTGCTGTTACAAAGGAGGCAGCAGACCTATCTATTCATCACACTGTGAATGCTGGGAGAGACACAAAGATGAGTCTTAGCATCTACTACCTTCAAGACATTCACAATTGAATAAGCTACCCAGGTGATAAGGTGTGGTTGCCTGTCCAGAAAGTGATGATTTTCCAAGTCAGAGCGCTGTGCTGTGGGAGTGTGAAGTACAGAGTCTGATGTCATACTCCAGGTGAGATCTATCGCCCTACCTTTCCCAGGGCACCAAATTTTCTTCTTCTTGACTTCTAGGACCTTGTAAAACGTCAGAGAGGGGCCCTCAGCGATCAGCTGGCCGTCATCATCCTGCCTGCTTAGAGATGGGAAAACACAGATCCGGAGACATCGGAGCAAATTAGGGAGTGACATGCAAATCCAGCAGACCTCCAGTCCAGGTGTCCCTATCTTGAACTCAGTCCTCTTGACGTTGTTTCTGGTCCCGGAGTACTGTTTTCTCAAACTTTGCCTCCAGATGTCTCCACGTCAGGAGGACCTTGTCGGTGTGCTCAAGGTCAGTGAAAAATGGAGGAAAAAGTGGCCAGGGCAGAACAGAGGTTGAGGCTTAAGAGAGCAAAAATCATGCTGTCCATTCCATGAGGCAGCAATACTTACTGTTGGCTGCGCAGGTAGCAATCAGCTGCCTCCCTGTTAATTCTTTTAAAGGCATATTAATAGGACTTGGACACCCACTGCCTCATTTGTGTTGGCATCCATCACAGCCTAGCCATGTCAGACAGGGTCCTAATCTCTGGGCTCTTACTCCCCATGACAGGGATGATGCTCCTTGTGACTGAACAATGGGTCACATTCAACTCCTGTGCTTTCTAGGCCTGGAGGGAATTCCAGTGCATCTCCTGTGCCCTGGGCATTGGTAACAATCTATGAATAGGTACATTTGTTTCAGAGCCCCTTTTCCGAATCCTGCTGTGCACATGCACGAAGATGTTGGCTGCAGGGGTATTTAAAACCCAGAACGATCAGAAATAGCTTCCCTCTCACAGAATAGGGGAGTGTTTGGGGGCACATGCACAGAATTCATTCTTTAGCCATTTTAACATTAAACTGATAGCTAAAAGATGGCTACATTATGGGGTATCAGGACAGGGTGCAAATAGTTCACAATGATATGATAAGGAAAGAAAAAGATCCTGCAAAAGGTCAGGTAAAGTCACCGCAGATCAGCAGCCACATTACGATCAGCCTGTGTGCCGGGCACCCGGGCTGCAAGTCAGGGGAGGCTCTCAAGGGAATGGACAGCTGCCATCTGTGTTTGTCTCCACCATGATGCTCTTGGAAGCTCCCTTCATTACTGCAGATAATTCTGTCTTCACCACTGTGTGCAGTCCAATGCCTGTTCTGTGTGTTTGTTGTGCCAAGCAGTCACAGAGGGAGTCCTGGAGAAATGCCAGGGGAAGAGGTATCAAAATATTCCAGGTGGAAAATTTGTGCCCCAGGCAGGGTCAAACAGGGAGTATCTTCCCGGGGGAGCCTCAGAGACTGAGGCAATGTGACCCAGTGTCCAGCTAGTCTCCCGGAGAGGAGCCTGACTAAGCTCTGTGGGCCGGCGAGTGTGTTACAGGCAGCCTTGCCAATGAGGAAGGAAGCCCCGCGTCCTCAAGACAGGAGGCTGGTGTTACTGCCTGGAATCCTCCAGCTTCCTCTCCCCATGCACCGAGACTTAGGATTCCCTGGATATGGCAGCAAGAGGGAAAGGGCTGGCCCTGGAGAGGAGGTTGTTTCCTGACAATCTGAATGTGATTCACGATGATTGCAACAGATGAGCCCCAAGGGCCATGACTTGTTCTGCAGCTGATGAAGGCCCTTCCCCCAGGAGCCAGGCCCAGGCTTCCGGGAGGACCTCGGCTATCTAGCTGGCCTGGGCTGTCCGGTTCCCAGTCGTGTGGTCAGCAGTGTGCAGTTCCTGGCTATAGAGTAGCGTTTCCTGTCTGCCTGCTAACGTCAGAGCTGCTCTGTCTGGACCTGCTGGAGGCGGCCACCATGCTCAGGGTGCCAATTTTGCCTCCAAGGAAGAAAGCCTTGAAAATGGGGCATTACAGCGGGGTGGGGTTTGCTTTATATTCATTATTTTTTACATCTGGAAGATAATGGGAAAAAATTTTAATTGCTATCATAGCACTGATTTTAAAAATTAAAATGAAGAAGAAAGAGTAGCCATTGCCAGCTTGAAACTCATCCTGCCCCTTCTTGAGATTAACCCTAGTATCAGTTCGGTAATTTATAAAAACCCAGGATATGTCATTAAACTCCTTAGGAGAATGGGGCAGGGGCAGGGAGGGGGAAGCTCTGAAATGTAGATTTGTGAAATTCCATCACTGCCAATTTCAGACAAGTAAAGGTTTAAAAACCAGTTTGAAAAATTCGTGAGCATTTAACAGTTGACTTTTGCCTGCCCGTATATACTCACCAGTTTTTTGTTTTTGTTTTGTTTTGTTTTCATTTTTCTTTCATGCCATTTTTATTTATCATGTTACCAACGTCTTCCCAGAACAGCCCATGCAGGTTCACGTAGCTCCCTTTGTGTGTGTGGTGGGGTTTCCATGAAGACGCACCATGTTGCCTCTGGACCCTTCTTGGAGGATCGGCTGATTGGCCTACCAGGAGATGGGAGATGGGAGGTGATAGCAGCTTGGCACCCAGGGGCTAGATCCTCAGTGCTGTCTACATTTGGTTTTTTGGAGGCAAATGTGCTATCTCCTGGCCTCTTCTAAACCTGCTCTTCTAATCACCTGTAGCCTGGTCAGCTCAGCTGGGGACATTTCCCTTTACTCTGCTTGCTTCCAGAATCCACGATTAGAGAATCCCATTTTCCTCTTGGGAAACCTCTCCCGGATAGTCTCCCATCCCCCTCCCTGAAGCTGGGCAGTGACTCCTTGGAACCCAGGTCTCCTCCTGTGGGAGTGCTCCCCACACCTTCTTGTTGACCTCATTCCTGTCTTGAAGCAGAGAAGCTCTGGTAGGCGGAATAGTCCCTCCCAAGATGTCCACACCCCAGTCACTAGTGTCATGCCTGTGAATATATTACTTCACGTGGCAAAAGGGACTTTGCAGATGTAGTTAAGGTTACTAATCAATTGACCCTGAATAGAGAGGGTATCCTGGATTATCCTGGTGGGCTCTGCCTGATCACATGTGTCCTTAAGAGCGGAGACTTTCTCTAACTGTGATCAGAGAGATGCTGCCAAAGATTCCAAGGTTGAGAAGGATTTAGGGGTCTCAGTTGGCTCTGAACTGTGGGGCCCACATATAAGGACAGGCTGCTAAGGGTGGCTTCACTGACAGCCAGCAAAGAGGCAGGAACCTCCATTCTAGGACACAGTGAGTGCAATTTACAATAAGAGCAGAATTTACAGCCCCGTGAATAAGCTTGAAAGAGGCCTTCTACTGCTCCCCACCTCCACCAGCCAACACCTTGAATTCAGCTTTCTGAATGAAGCTAGGAGCAGAGAAAGCAGCTGAGCCCACCCACATTCTGATCCACAGCACCACAACATAACTGTGTGCCTTGTCTCAAACCGCAGAATTGATGGCGATGATTTGTAACAGCAGCTGTAGAAAATTAATACATGCTCCTCGTGGCTGGGAATGCAGGTTCAGGGCCCCTCTCTTTCGACTTCCAAAGCATGTTTGCCCCTTCCCAGGGGAACTTCAAGTTCGCGAATCTCAGCCCTGCTGCCCCGTCTCTTCCTGACCAAGCAGGTTCTAGCATCTTGCAAACTCTTGGTCTCCCCCACCTTGCCTGCCAACAGTTACCACTTCGTAGATTTTACCAACAAAACGTCAGCCTTAGCTCTTGATTTCACAGTCCCTGGGATGTTGGGGTAGCTTCCTTATGGGGTCTTCCCAACTCTGTCCTTCCCTTGTCCCAGGCCACCAGGTGCGTCTCCCTGGAGTGCAGCTCTGCTTACGTCTCCGCTCCCAGCCCTGAGCATCCCATGGGCTTCCTGCTTCATCCACTGCAGATCCCTCAGGGAGAACTCACAATCTCTACTTAGAATAGGGGCATTGCCCCTTCCGGGCAGATTTCCCTGGGTTCTCTCAGGAGTTTGCATTCTCCTGTGGTCCTCTTCATGCCCAAGTTGTCGCATCCCCAGATCTCCATTCCACCAGTCCTGTGGGTCCTCCTCACACACGGTCTTCTCATCCTCACAGCCTCCGCAGGGTCCCCAGAGGCACTGCTGTTTACACGGACCAGACCCACCTCCACACCAGACTTGCTTCCTCCCCCTAGCGCCTTGTGTAGTGCCAGGGACATCATGACACTCAGCACCTCTGCTCACTCACTAATGGAGGGACGGCCAGAGTGAAGAAAAAGGCACCTGGACGTGGAGGCCTCTCCACCGCGTTGAGCATGTTGCCTGGGGTGTCCCTTCAGTGAGTATGTAGTGGGCTCCTTTCATGCTATTTAAAAATGGATGTCTCCAAGGACTTGAAAAACCTCCAGAGTGTTTTGGCACACTCTCCCCACAATAGCATTTGTGTCTATAGGGGCTGCTTATACTGAGTTTGGAGATGGTGCACGTACTGGCAAACAATATATTACTATATTTAACAGAGTCTTACTATCACAATTTTGTGAACAGTTAACATGTACTGACATATGCAATTGCCATGAATCAGCTCATTTTATTCACACGACAATGCTATGAGTTTGGGACCATTTGTAACTACATTTTGTGGATAAGGAAACAGAGAGGTTAAGTGCTTCACCCAAGGTTGCACAGCCAGTGAGAGCCAAATTTCTAACCCAGGCAGTTGACTTTAGAACCCACAGCCTCATTCCCCATGAGGTCCTTCTGCTGCTGCCATTGTGATCTATTTATGAGAAGGAGAACAACCCCTTTTCCCTGGATGACTGTCATTCTTGTTAGTATTATTACTTTAGTTCACTGTCCGTTACTGTTTTTAACACTTCACTTCACATGTGCTCAGGGCTTTGCTTTTTAAAGGCTTTTCCCTTGATTCTCACATTGGATAGCCATAGGGATGTGCTTTAGGAAATAGACTGTCTCCTGGGCTTCAAACGTCCCCTCTGCTGGAAAGCATCATGTTTCCCAAAGCGAACCCCAACCCCCCACCACACACACACCTTCATTACTTTTAATAATTGCAGAAGAAACTCTTTTCCCTGCAGTAAAGATGGTCATCACATTTGTTTTTTCTTTTTGTGTGGATGCTGACATTTTCTTTGAATCCCCAAGAGCCTTGACACAAGGCTATGAATCATATTTGCTAGGAGACAAGAGCTTGGGCTCTGGATTAGATAAGGCTGAAGTTCCAGTGCAGGGTTAGCCTCAAACTGTCTGTGTGGCCCTGGCCATGTCCCTGCTCTTCTCTGAGGCCCATTCAGTGCCTTGTGAGAAGGGGAGTGGCTTTTCCTGGCAAGTCCTATGGGGACCGGAGGAAGGCACTCTGTACCTAGGTGCAGGCAGTAAGCAGGCCCAGGGGACAGCTGCCTTCCTCATGGCCCCCCACTGGGATAGCAGCCTGGCA